CTTAACTCTTGTGAACCCAAACGTACCCTTAAAGTACGTTCAACAGTACTGGCAGACCTGCGAGTTTGATCCTCCCAGTCATGGAATAATGGGAGACATAGACGCTCCAAATGACATGGTTTGCTCGGTAAAAATATCGCGAGCAAAAGTTTCTAAAGTTCTATGCATTCCCACAAGAAAGGAACTCATGATCATGCAATATGACGAACCACCTTCCTCCGATGATATTCTAAGGTTCGTGAAGATGTTAGGGTACAATCGTGAACTGCGAAACGTATCAGACTTCAAAAGACAATTCCTCCCACCAATRTGGAATTTGTTCTTTTCCATCCTCAACCGATCCCTCACCTGCAAGCTCGGCTCCCTCGACCAAGGAAATCTCAACATAATGACAATTATGTATGGGCTTTTCTTCAACCTTAATCTTGACTACGCCTTCCACATCTACAACGAGATTCATGCGACCGTCTTCAAAAAGTGCAAACTTCAAGCCGCGGGAAAGCCACTATCTGYTGTTMTCTTTCCTCGCTTCCTTGCTCTTTTCATTGGGGACGCGATGGTGCAACACGGACTACCTGCTGTGGAGCCCTTCACCCCAAACTACAAGATGCAAGGACATCGCCTAACACTATCGAAGGAAGGATACGCCACAAACCGTCCGCTGTCCCGGGCTATGCTAACTGTCATTCCATCGACAAGTGAGATACGCCAAGCCTATGAACGCTCCATGYTGTCCCAAGMACCGAGGACAGCTACCCCGGAGCACTTAGAGCCGTCCCCCCTCCAAGCGAGGGAGCACAAGCATCGTCTTCATCGGATGATGAAGATGATGATGATGATGATGCTCATGCTTCCCCCGGCATTCACCAAAATATTCCCCACCCTACTACCCAAAGGGCAACCACATCTACTACCCCTGGCGATCAAAGCCAAAGGGGTATTGAAAAAGGACGACCCAGTCCCACCCAAACCCCAACCAGCCATCCAGAGGCAATTCTTCGGGCCTCTGGAGATGAACAAGTCGAGGAACCTAATATCCCATCACCCCTCTCTCAACAGAGAGGTGATGAAGAAACGAGATCCCCTTCGCCTCAGGGCTCGCCACAACCCCTCACACACACAGAAGCATTCGTTAATTCTGACATTGATCCCATAGATCATTCAGAGCAATCTTCAATTCGTGCACCACTCCCCTCGGTATTTGATCTACCAAAAGGGCAACACATCCGCTTCGTTTACTCAGCCTCTGAAGCTGAAGAAGAGGAAGAGGATGTTTCAACATCACGAGATAACTCTTCTCTCGAAGGCTATCAATGATATGATGGAAGTCCCTCGAGACCTACCTTCGCACAAGGCCAAGAGGGCGCCTCAATAATAGAGGCCCAACCTGCAACATCTGTTGCTGCAGGGGTTACCCCATTAGCAGATCTGGTCACAAAGGCTGAGTTCCAAGCCTATGTTGACAGTGACGCGGTCCTTGGATGACCTTAAACTCCTCGTACAAGGGATTATGGAGAACCAACCCTCACCCGATACCCAGACCTCCATCAATCCCTTGCCATCCTCCAACGCCACCTAAACCAAATCGATACCCAAACCCAAACCAACTCATCCCACCTTCAAATCCTCCAACAAACAGTAACCCAACAACACAATACCATATCATCCTTAGCCACCCAACGAAACCAAATCCTAATCCAATCCATCGCCACCCTCACGACTCAGGCAACTGAGGCTGATGAAAACTTAACCTACATCATTTCCCAACTCCAAACCATCCTTCGCAATCTTCATCAACTACCAGCCTCCATCACCTCCCAAATACCTCACCCTCAACCTTCATCCACCTCATCCATCGATGAAACCCTTGCCACTTTCACCACCCAAATGACCACCATACAAACAACCCTCACCCAATTACCCGCCACCATACTTGCCCAAATCCCACTACAAACTCAAACCCCACCTCCCTCTGCAGGCCCTTCCTATGAAGCCGCCTTCTCATCCTTCACTGCAGAGGTGAGAAATCTTCTTGCTAACCTTCCCCAACCTCCATCATCTGCAACAACCTCTGTGCCACCTCCTCCCTCTACAGGCACAGACTATGCTACACGAGCCGATCTACGGGTTCTGTCAAAGGCACTTATCTCCTCTTTCAATGAGATAAGTGCAAAGTTCGCTGCTCGATCCGTTGAACCCACCACTGTGCTGAGGAAGAGTTTACAACAACAGGAAGAACGAACAAACACTCTCCTTCGCACAATGGAACAACAGCGCAATAAGGATCGAGTGTGCACTCTCGCTTTCCACATTCGAATATGGAAAAAGAAGAATAGATCAAGAGTATCCTGCTCTTCCAGCCGCCCCTACAAACGACCAAGGCATGAAGACCAAGACCCTGATGATCAAGGTCTTGGACCTCATGAGGGGGAGACAGAGGCGGCGGCTACACAACAAACAGGATCTGCTGCACCACAGCAACCATCAC